CTCGCGATGACCTCTTTGTCACGATTCTATTTACGATAGAATTGTACGCTGTTACTCGAAAAACTCGCGTCGCGTCTCTTGAATTTTGCAGTACAGCATTTGCAGTATTTCGCACGGCGAAACCACAATTTTTTAACGTCACTTATGACATTAAATACTTCCACGATCCTACGTCGTAATTGTGGCTCTTCGTTATGCCACCGTAACAACGTTCATAATACGACCTCGTTAAAAAGTGCATCATGTATCTTTGTAGACGTACATTCGTAATTAACACGCCTGATTATCAAACATCCCGCGCTTTGCTGCGCGCGCATAATTAGTTTAATACGGATTCGCACAAATCCATAGTCTAATTTAAAGGAAAAAATTTAAGTCAACTTTTATGACATCTGATAGATGAATCCTCAAAAATTAATGATTAGACCAATTTGCGAATAAATCGCAAAGCTGTTGAAAGATATCACCGTCCGCCGCCCAATTTGTCGCAGAGTTCAACATTGGGCTTAAAATACAAACATGATTCCCGGCTTCTTGACTAATATAAGGGTCTCAATTTATTTGCGTGCAAGTCCTGCACGGATCTTCGATCGGGCGAATTCTAAGGGAAACCAACTGGTGCTGTGGGCTCCCTCAGGGGTTAAGCCCCAGGACCTAAATCAATTCCCGTTTGACAAATCTTCGGGCGATGCCGGGCGACGGCAGATATTTCATTGGCCGTACAATTTCGCTATCTACCGCGTGCACTGGCCACGTGAGCTTTAGATTCCAACTGATTGGAACATTGTTGGCGAATTAATTAGCTTTGTAAAGAAGACAATTAGCAAACGTGGAGTGAGACTTCGAGAGTGCTTGTGAGAAAATACAAAAAAAAATGGCATCAAAGAACACTAAAAGGTGAAAGTGCTGCTTGAAGTCAGGAGTGCTACGGTGTAACGAACGAGAGGAATAGAGAGAAACGGAAGGGGTATAAAACAAATATTGCGAAACGTATTAGTTCAGTAAACTGGTGAGATTCGTAATGAAATTCGGTGCGGCGCAGTCTCTCTGCTTAAACAAGGGATTAGTCGACTGGTCTTTCCATCAATAATAGTAATTTCATTGTATTAAAGCGAATAAAGTTATATGAAAAAAAAAATCAGACCTTATTCCGAGACTACAATTAATAAAATATTGAACCTTGTATTTTAGCGTCCGTGCGATACTATTCGATAGATAGATTTTGTTCGGCGCAACTTTATTGACAGTGATAAATGAATTGACCGCCAATTCATCGTGCAAGGCACGTTTATAATATCGTAAGATACACTTTGTTCGAATGGCAAACGGTGACACTCATGAGCGATCGATTGCGGGAAACAGTCTGCCACGCGAAGTTATTCTTTAATAACTCTCTGTCTCATAGTTACCTTCTGTCTCATTCAGGATAACGCGCTAGAGGTGGATACACATTGCCCGCGGCTTTATCTGTCTCGCAGCCAGAATAGAGACTTAAATGAAAGCTCTCAATTATATCATTCGAAGTTTATAGAGTTGCGACGACGCGAGAGTTATTTTTGTGATCTTTGTGATTAATCAGTGAGCAACTAAAACGGCTTTATTTTCGTCTGTCAGTCGCTAAAAAAAATGTTTAAAATTAAGTTCTTTTAAATTTTAATGTCACTTCAGCAGGATATTTCTGTCGAATCGCGTCACGTTATTACCGTAAAGTATCTCTATAAAATTAGTCTTATTTTTTCAAAATTTAACAAAAAAAATAATTTGAACGATAAATCTTAACACTTGTAGCGCTAAAGTAAAAATTGAAAAAGTTCTCGTGATTTAAGATGAATGCAATTAAAAAGTTCATTAAAAGTCTATCAGAATTCTCTCTTATTATTGTTTTTTAATTTTGGAAAAGTGAAATTATAACTTCACAAAGATCCATAATCTGGATACAAATATTTTTAAATATTCAAATACTAAATAATGTAAGTTCTACTAGTAATACTACATTTTTGACTAAATAATGTAAGTTCTATTAGTAATACTACATTTTTGATCGAGAAAGCTATCACAACATCAATGTTATTTTCTTCGAAGTGCATTATGTGGCTAACTGAATTAACGAGTAACAGGAAGGAAATATTGATCATGACGCAAATGGATTGTTGAAAATTATACAACGTTTCACGTGATAATACCCGAAATATATTACTTGAAACAGTAATAATATAGATAAATGACAAAGCGACAATGTAACACAATTGTAATGCAACACAAATCTACTTCGTATCGGAGATCGTGTAAATAATTCCAAAATATAAAACGTATAATATTTTAAAGAGAAAGTTTAACATAATGCGGATAAATTGTGCATACATGAAAGTAATGTATATATTTGTAAAGAAAATTTGCGAAAAATTTGCAGAAAATTTAGGGTCGCAGCGTAAAAAGAAATATTTTCTCTCAAAACTATATAACTTGATTATATTTGAGAAGAGGTAATATCCGGAAAGGCTCCCGATTCGATCGCGGTTGCGGCATTGCAACGTGTTCGATTGACTTTATCCGCGTTCGTGCTATCCAGCTTCTTGAAACAATATGGCTTAAGGACGAGTTTCCAACCGTGTCGTTGCGCCCGCTGTAATGAGATTGGTCAGCGGAATCGGGGCGAGCTTAGTATCCAGATCATGTTCTCAAAGCTTCATTGAACCGAATTGGTCACACAGAACGTGTTCTCGGCCGTGAGCCTGAAATAACAGGAGCGGTTGTATCTGACGAACCATATTCAGCAAATGCGTTATTCCCGGTGAATTATTCTTGGCATTGATCAACGAGTTCGGTCAAATTTTCCGCATTGTGGATTCCGATCGAAATTATCTCGTCGTACGCTAACAAAGTCAGAGCCTGCCGCTCAATGACGTTGTTTGAACACCACTCGTATTTCTGTTTAATCCGTGGTGTCTCGTTAAAATTCCTGCGGCGAATGGCACTCTATTTAGACATTCTCAAAACTGATTAAAGTGAAACTCTATGATTATATTACAATTTGATTTTTAAATTGAATAATTTCCGCACAGCCCTGCCGTGCCGCAGCGTCCGTCAATCAACCGCGCTGATACAAGTTTAAGCTCGTGCTTCCGAGTCGCGGCACAGTCGGCGCGAATATATTTTATTCCGTCTAATGTCAGTTCAGCTAAATAAACTTGAAAATCAGATCATATTCACGCGCTACTGACACGCGCAATTGCAATGAAGTCTTCTAAGAGCATGAACAGGCTTTGCGAAATTTAATCTTCAAACAGTTCAAATATCAAACAGTCTCTTTAAGTTAAAAATAAGTTTAAGACAAAAATAATAAATACAATGTCGCAATCATAATGTTAAATCGCCATCGTCTTAACGTGAAACTACATATTCGAGCGCGCTTAAATCGGAATTTTATGTATGATCGCGAGAATCCGGCATTCCCATTAATCGGCACGGCGCTAGTAATCAGCGCGACGATCCGAAATGGATTTCTCCGACATTCCCGCGTGATTTAGATCATAACGGCGACATATCGTTACCTGCTCCAATCACGTTCCAATCCACGGTAATGCACGCCAGAAACTTGGACAGGCTTGGCGCACCGCGAATACTCCCGGAGCTCATCGCAATATCTAATTTCGATACGTTTCCGGGCGCCGCATTGTTCTAGAAACTCCGCGTCGCAATTACAATTACGGCGCGCCTGTTTGCTGTGTGTTGTCCTCCCAGATTATTCAATATAGTATCGGTAAAGGATGCGCTCTCGAATGCTCCGTTTTGAATCGTCCCGAAATGGAGCTCTTACTCGTTGAAAGTTCCCAAGACGAAGTCGCGGAACTAGGCGACACTCGAGGAAGGCTTACCGGGTGGGTGTTGGCGACACCCACTTCAATGCGAGCACATTAAAACAAACTTTCGAGGTGGAGAAATCGCGCGGGAACGTAATGGTGAAGCCAGTCGAGTCTCGCAAGTTACACACGACCGATGGTAATGGGGGGCTATTTAACCCTCCTGCGGCTCGTTCGAATTCTTCTCTTTCTTATTGTCGCCGTGTTGCATCCTCTCGCCCGCTCTTTGTCTTTTCTTTCTTAATTTTCGAATCAAAAATTTTTCTTTCCTTTTTTTACTGATTACCAGTCTGACGGCGAGAACATGTATTGCCGTCTCTTTACGTTTCACCCGTGCGTTCGGTCACTTAAAATTCTCCTTTGAGAATTATACTCACACCTCGCCCGCGCTCGATCAAAGAGTAATGAGTGTCGCACGGAGGCGGTGCTTGAGCAGATCCCCGAGTAGATAGAAGGATCCGTTAATTAGGTAATCTGAAACTCCGGGCCGAATCGATATCTCGGATACTGGGCTCGAGGTCAAACGACCAACGAATTGAGACATATTTATACTGGATTGTTTCTTAGTTGATCGAAATATAACTTTTCCATTATACAATTGAGAGAGAGATGAGACATTATGAATTACACGAAACATTTTATGCTTCTTGCACTATTCCGCAATTTGCAATAGAAACATATATATTTTATATAGGTATGTCTACTTTAATATTTTATATGTTTTTTGCATAGACTTTTACAGACTACATAAAATTTTATCGCGAATTATTAAAATTGTCTAAGAAAAGCTAAAAACTATATTAAGTTCGTGACGTCCATCTCACTCGTGCATCGCACGTTAGCGTACGAGCATTTCAATCTGTGCGCAATAATTCGTAAGAGAATTGAAGCCGATCCAACTCGCACTTTAGTCCTCGCCATTATTTTCGCCGACGGCAGAACTGTGCCTGCGCGGAATTATACGGTAATTTCAAAGCGGTGTCTTAGCCGACGCCCTATTTCCGTTCCAAGAAGTAATCTCGAGCCGGATAACACGTCGTACCCGTTCGTACGCCGGAAAGCCCTCTTTCGGGAACGCGGAAGGGTATATACCGAAAGCTCCCGCTAGTTTACGGCCACGTGATTTTGAACTTTCCTTACCTGTCTATGTTCGCCGTGCTACATCACGCCTGGCGCTCCCTTCGGATTCTATCCTCATTAACTTGACTTTTTCAATCCTTTTTCACTGAGAAATCTAAAAAAAACAAAAAATAAATATATTATGTGCGAGCAATTTTCGTAACTGAAACATTATAACGATTTCACGGTATCCTAATGATAAAATCGATAGTCCGACGATAATAATAAAACTATTACGAAGATAGCAGCTGCCTGTTATCCGAAAATATTGCAGTCTTAAATTTCGACTACTATCAAAATTTTCGCTAATTTATTTTAATTGTAATATTTAATTGAGTAAATCATTTAATGTCACTTAGCGTTGAAAAACAATCGATATGTTTAATAAACTCGGACGATATAAATTAAAATATTCTGTTATTCTAATTACCGACGCGCGGCACAGTTATTGAGGGATGGCTGAACCGCGTGGAAAGTTCATGCGAGAATAAATATTCGCAATATGCGCCATGATACTCGCCGTTGAGCACAATAACTCATCAGTGCCTGCTGCCGTATTGGAAAATTCTTTCGGATGGGTAAATAACGGTGTATTGCCGAATACGAGATAACGCAGCATCCGAGACCATGGTATGCATTTAGGATAGCGCTCGCTTGAAAAGATCCTTAAAGCTTGCCAATACGCTCGTGGAAACCTTCTTTCCCCGATTCCCTGCAGCCCTTTTCCCTCGGCCGGAGACGATTCTTTTAACGGGAGTAAATAAGTAACAGGATACAAAGAACGGTCTGGAACTTTATCGAAGGAGCACTCAAATCTGTCTTCTCCTCCCCGGGTAAGCGGGTTTCTGTAGAACAATGTCCACGGGAGAGCTGCAGCAGCTTTAAAGCTCAGTTGGAAGGTTCGGCTAAACAAAAAATTCGCCAGACATGTTCTTGTGCTTTCATATAATGCCCGTGGCGCTTATTTTCATCCCGAGTTAGTCGACTACAGAAGTTGCTGCCTGATGCGTCCCGAGTACGCCGCCCTCGCTTTTTTCGTAATTGTGTCATATTATTAATACCGAAGTGTATCCAGCCGCACTGATTCGTAAATAATTCGTCAAAGTGTGTGCTATGTGACACAAGATCCTTCATAAAATATTTCTTTAACTTTGTGAGCAAAAGGAGACTCTGCATTAAAAAAACAGCAGAAGCCAAAGAGCATTGAAAAAAAATATAAAGATTTTGCCGTCGTGAATTCAGTACCGAGATTCGCAAAGGTATCGGTAACGATCAATGTACTTGCAATCTTCAAAATGTATAAAAATATATATTTTGAATATCTGTTTCACAAAATAGAAATAAATGGGTCGTCCAAATGAAACAAACTAACATTCCTTTGTCATGTTGTTTTAATGCCAACAGCATTGTTCGCGTAGTTTATATTGCATGAACGACCCACATATTTCTGTTTTAAAAAAATAAATTTAATGTTACACAGCTGACAATGTGACCTATATAGACATTTTATACACATATTTCATATCTTTTACTGCATGTTTCATATAATCATATTTTTTACACGATCCTTCTTTATTCTGATGAAACAAATTAACCAGACCTCATTAAGTCCTTTTAGTCTCTGTTATTCAGATTAAAAGCAAACAAATATAATGATTACACTTTCGTGCCTACGAAGGAATAGTTTCAAAACTTCTGCGGAAGGCGATGAAATGCATTACGTGGTGCCGCGCGAAATAACGTGAGAAGCATTATATTCGCAGACGAAGAGCATTCGGCTCGACCGCATCTCCCGAAAATACGAGGAAATGCTGGGCTGGCAACGGGATCCCCGCGGTGTCCGATGTCTCGCGCGCTAGGAATATCGTTCGTAGTCGCGAGCTCCCGGAAACGAACGGCGAAACGTGTCAACGCGGAAAAGGTGGGCAGACGTCGGGCAGACGTGAAAAATAAAGAAAAGTAGAAGACGGACGGACGCACACGGCGCACCGAGTTCGAAAGTGGCCGCGGATGCCGGCCGGATAGGCGAGATATCGCCGCCGTTCAAGAGACGGGAAGGGTGGCAAGCTGCGGTAGCGCCGGGCGGACGGTGCGAAAATAGGAGCTGCCTGTTTCCGCGGATTCTTCCTCTCGAGGGTCAGAGAGACACACATACACACACACACTCGTACGTTGAGGAAAAAGGACGCGAGGAGGTGAACGGGGAAAACTTGGCACGCGTCTGGCATACGGGACTGCCCGTTAAAACCTGCGAGGGTAGACACCAAATGCTATTCCGCACACGGCTTTCATGCTCCGCGGCACATACTCTGTGTCTGGGAAAAATAGAAACACGAAAAAAAGATTGTGGGCCAGGGGGACGGAGGTGAAGAGGGAGAGCACGAGGACGGGATGATGCCGCCGACCGATGAAGCTCCGCGCCATAGTCGTTTAGCACGTTCTTGAGCTCCGCGCGAAAATTGGAAAGCGTCGGGGCTCGGCGCTGCACTTTCGCCGTAATTTTAAATGGGCGGCGCAGAAACTGCGCGCGCTTTCCCGAACGAAACTCTGCCGCCGTCTTTTCATTCTCTCCGCTAAAACGTAGCGCGCGCCCGCTGTGGTTTCGACTTTCAGCGACGGTGCATGCGTATTGTGGTGCGCGAGCGCGCACGAATTGCCGTCGTAAGGTTTTATTCGCAGTCGATTTTACTCGCCGGGGTAACCAATTTCAAACTCCATGGTTGCTGCATAATATATCTCGGATTCACGATAATTCCACAGCGCGCTCGGCGCTCGCTTTTATCCGCAAACAAATGTAACGCCGTAATTTATATCGCAATTTCAACCTTTCGCACAGCTTTATTTGGTCGTATCAATTTTTATGCGGGACGGAGTTTTTCTCTTTCGTTATATTCCATATAACTGATTACTTCGTAAATTCATACCAATGCCACATTGCACCATACTTACACAATTATCGGCGCTTGCATCCGACTTTTTTAACGCCGAGCAAAACAGTCGTATTCGCGCGCATTCACCGCAATTCGCCGAGCGGAATCCCTTACGCGCGAGAAGTCGCGAAATAGCCCGGTCGCGGCTGTTTCGCGAATGGAACGTTATTTCGTAAATTTTTTTTTTCCTTGCTTTGTTCGCCGCCGATCCGTAATTATTACCTGCGACTTCTCTCCATCGCGCCGCAGCCAACAAAGTGATTTCACCTTTTCCCGCTTCGCGTAACGAGCATCGAGATTCTCGATAATTGCGGGATGCCCGGTGCGGCGGTTGCGGTAATTGCACCCGCCGCAGTTTGTATTTATTTTTCTCCGCTCCGATCTCGGAAGGGCATGCTCGGAAACGCGTGTGCACGCGCGTCTCGCCGGTCGATACGCTCTTACATCAAAGATTGTAATTCCGGCGATACAAGTGCGTCCTCATCGCCAGACGCACCATCGTAATTGCGTGCGTGTATTCGCGTGTGCGTGTGACGACGATTATTTAGTAATCTATAAATCATAAGGTGGGAAACGACGAGACCCGACATTAGACCCTGGCAAATTACTCGCCGTCCTACGAAGGTTTAGTGCAATAATTGAGATCGCGCGACTGTTTATTTTTCTTCTTGCGTTTCGATCGGAGAAATGACTGGCCTAACGACATCAATGACTGAAAATTATAATCCCGCGCGCTAAAGAGTATACTAGGAATATCGCGAATAAGCACACCGAGACGCCCGACTCATTTATTTTAGAATCATGTTTCTTTTTCTTTTTTTTTTTGCTGCTTACCGCCGCAGTCACGATTTCATCCTACTCGCGTATTTTCGATACAAACGCGCTCAGAACCTTATAGCATGTGGTCAATGGACAAAACATTACGGCTTTTGCGCAATAGAAGCGATATATAATTCACACATCGCACGGATCCCGGGGATTACAGATTCCGCAAAGTCACGCCTTCGTGGAAAATATTTCGGTATTCCGATATCCGATATTTCAAAGAGCGCCTGGATATGATGCGATATGGTGTGCCAGCACTTGACTTTAATGCACGACGTTCGTAATCGTCGGACTAAAGCAGTGGAACCAGGTCGACCGACATGCAAGTCATTACTCCCGCGATCGAGATTATTTTTTTCGCTACTTAGTACCACAAGAGGACCATAAAATCATATCGCGAGCTGCGCCGTGTGAAGGCTGTCAGTCATGGAAAAAAAGAAAAAAAGTAAAAGCATGAAAAGATCGTAAAAGGAAAAAAAAAAACAATTATTTGATTGTCGGTTTGATCACTATTTTATAGGAGAAAAAAATATTACATACTGAAAATACCTATGCAATCTTTTTTTAAATGCTATGTTTTGCGCAATAAGAATATTATTCGGAATGAAACGTAATGGACGTATATCAAATCAATATTGTAAAACAAACGCATCCCAATTGGCTTACTGAAGCACACAGTTCGCTGGAGAAAAGGAAAGCCAGAAATAATACAAAGTAAGAGGACATATTTATGACTTTTCTCGCGGTCTAGTAACGCGATAACAGAATTCCATTGTACAGCGAGTAAAACATATCTGTACAAAACGCAAGCGGTAAAAACGCTTTAATTATTTCGCTTCTGTAACGATTCGTTTCTTATCGCGCCTACCACTTTGCGATTCGGATAGAATTTTAAGACACGATCGTGATACCGATTGTAAAGCCTGTGAATATACATGTATATGTATGTATATACATACGTCCCGTAACTCATAAGAGAGATTAATGTCTCCGGCGGAACTCGAGAACTGTAAAGCTCCGCTACAGAACTGTTCTGTTCTATGCGAAAGCTGTTACTCGCAGAGGAAACAGACGCAGGGATCGTGATGCGACTATAGAGCGTCGTAAAGAGGAGTTTAAAGCATCCCACTCTGCGGAAGAAAATTCAAGATTTCTTACGGCGACCGAACGCGCCGTCGGCGTTCTCTCTGGTTACAATGATTTTTAAAATACGTTCTGCGTAAATATGCGGGCGGGCGAGAGCGCTCTTTAGCGCTATGAATTTTTACGATGATCTACATATCCGTTGGATATGTGCGCGAACGGCAAAATGGAACTTCTTTGTTTGCGCATCCATTTTGCCCATCGAGTCGTAACGTCT